GGCATCATAATTGGGTGCGTCTGCTGTGCGTAATGCACGCATGTGAGCAGCGATAATTTGATGTGGCTGGCCGAATCGTTCGGTCAAAAGCTGGAGTGCCAAACTGTAATTTACTATAGTAAGATCTAAGCCGGTTATTACTTCTAGAGCCTCCCCCTCTAACGACCTTTTCAAATAAGCAAATTTGATTATAGGACTAAGTTGTGGATTTAAACCTACAGCAGCATTGAACATATCCCAAAATTCAGCCCACCCCGTATACTCGCCTGAATAGACGGGCAAATCAATACGTGGCAATTGAACAGAATTAAATTGAGTGTATTGTGGATTCATACCTGAAATATGAGCTGTTGGAATTGAATTGTTCAAAAAGTTATTTTGTGTAACTTCTACTTGAGGCACTGGTGCATTAGCGGGTTGATCGAACTGTTGTACAGGTGGTTGAAACGCGACTTGAAACGTCGGTACTGGGGGCGCGACTTGAGGTGTCGACGGCGGTACGACTTGAGGTGTCGGCGGCAGCACGATTTGAGGTGTCGGCGGCGGTACGACTTGAGGTGTCGGCGGCGGTACGACTTGAGGTGTCGGCGGCGGTACGACTTGAGGTGTCGGCGGTGGTACGACTTGAGGTGTCGGCGGCAGTGCGACTTGAGGTGTCGGCGGCGGTACGACTTGGGGTGTCGGCGGCGGTACGACTTGAGGTGTCGGCGGTGGTACGAGCTGTTGGACCGGTGCTTGTTGATCATCTGGAGGGATTGGTTGTTGGTTTACTTCGTGTTGACCAAGTTGTGGGACTGGATGTAATTCTTGCTTCGCTGGCTTGTTTTCTGTCAGGAATAAATTGATCGAACTAAACCTCTCTAGTAATTTGAGTTCGATTTCTTCAGTTTCCGTAAACTCTGCGTCCAGAACATCGGCGTAATTTCTGACTTCATCGCAGGCCTTTTGTAAGTTTGAGATACGATTGTCAAGTGCTAGTATGCTTACTTTGATCAGCCGATATACTTCAGATTTGTTGTCAGTGACTTCAAAGTCTTGGATTCTATCCTCAGCAAGTGT